TTATGCATTGTAATGAAAGAGGGAGAAAGGGAACCTTTTATTCGGGGGATACTGAATCCATTTCTGTTTGATCATTATCCGCATCTGGTTTTGGATACACAAAGCAAAAGTTACAGCCTCAACGGAATCCTTTGTGTAGCGGCTGCTGTATATAAAGATCAGTGTACACTAAACTGAATGCCCGCTCATCGCCAGAGCCAACAATGAGCGGGCGATTAGTTTAGTGGATCCTGATCTTTATGTACAGCGGATCCTGTTTTAATCTTTTTGTCTGCTCTATTCTTTTTGCATCGCGTGCACTCAATCAAATGCGGTAATGAAACAATCGGTATTGAGTTCCGCATACACCAGACAAAAGGTCTACTTTCTTCTGAACATCTTGCTGAACAAAAAGTATTTCATTGGCTTGATTTCATCTTTGGCATTGACTCGACGAAAATTACCGCGCCTGCTGGTCATAAAGTGCCGTATTGAATTCCGGCCTTGCCAAACAAACCCTTCTGTGGATCCTATACCGGCTTCGGAACGCAAAGTTCCGGAATGACTACAGTATCCTGTTCGGCATAAGCTGCTTTTATTCTCTACCAGGCACTATGTTTTATTAATCTGAGCTCCTTCACCCAATACCGGTCACAAACCCGAACACAAAGAATCGGTTGACATTCAGGGCAGGCTCAATATTATATACATGCATCTCGAAACCCAACCCTATGCCATTATTTTTAGTATTCCGTTCCGTTTCCTGTTTGGGGTGTCCGGAAAGTAGCCTCCGCCGCCGTGTCCGGTGCACGCCACATCGGCAAAATGCGGTCGTTCTCGCCACCTTCGACTTTTGACAAACCGCCACTAAACCGCCACAGCCCACCGCTCCTTTTGTACCGTCATCTCGGACCGCCAAGCTCCCTACATCTTTATGTAGGACATCTCTCAGTGACATTTCAACAGAAGAAAAAAAAATTGGGATAAATGGCTCGTTCTCTGCTCCGCCGAGCCAACTCGGCGAGAACGAACTCGGAGTATCACACACTTTTTCGGGACGTCCGGACACCATCATAGTACTGTTCACCAAGCACATCTCACCACCTTGAGCTTCCGCATTGAGACAAAAACGTGTACCAATCAACAAGAACAGCTTCCTAGTGTCTTGCTATATCCTATTCATTCACTGTTGTCTTCCTCGTCCTCAGAGCCGCCCCTAACACTGTCATCCGGCTCCAGATCTCCACGATGCTGCAAGGCCTTCTTTCGTTCTCTCTCGAGGAGCTGATTGACCTTTATGGATTCAGCAGCCCAGTGCTGCCAATACTTTAGAGAATGATACCTGAACTATTCAACCGGTATGGAGCCATGGATGACCATCAGTAAAGGCACTCTCACAGTTGACGCAGAAGAATAGTATAAACAATCATCCATCACAAACAAGCGACCCGGTGTGAGAGGAGGTTGAGTTAGACTCACATCCACAGCTAACCTTTCACATATTTGGTTGAGAGTCCTGCGGGGATTACGCTGTAATTCCAGCGCAAAACACTCAAGCATGTATTGGCTGTCTTGATCTGTGTATATTTCCTTGGCTCGAGAACGTGAAGGCGCTGACTCCTCTAGAATGGTGCTAGGTGCAGGTGAAGCTTCAGGCTCGGTCTGACGATCAAGAGACCGAGTGGAAATTGGGCGAAAAATTGGCGTTGGAGTACGAGTGCGCCGACTTAAGGGTGGTGGTGGCATAGTACGACTATATGGCGTAGAAGAACGTCGTGCTTTTGTTGACCGAGCAGGACCTGAGAAACAGAGAGAGAAATAGACGGACGCCGTCTTAGTCAGATATTTCTGCCAAAGAAAGGGAGATTACAAGGTGAATCACCGTTCGGCAAATTTTTGCTCCATTGAGAGACCTCTGCATCGAGACGGGCATGGTTCTGGTGGAAATGGGTAGCCCATTGCTCAGCAGGCCGATTGTTTGTCTGAGAACGAGAGCCGTATACCAACGTCAGAACAACTTTACGAATATGAAGCCTGTGTAGGACTAGAAATCATGACTCTGGCAGATCATTCAAGTTGCTTACCATGTGGAGACTACTCTGTATCACTTGTCGATCCGATAAGCCTTGCAGGCGACCTGTTATTAGTGCGTTGACTAGAACTACCTCTTCGTTCTTAGAGATTGGCAGCTGAGGAACAGGAACCGCCTGCATCGTCGCGGTGATCGTTAACTTGAATGTGGCGGCACGAACTTCGGTTGACATTGATTGGACACGGAGGTGGGCGATCCCGCGGCAAAGGCCGCTATTCATTGTCCTCCGAACTGGGGCTGCATCTCGCCTCTTGGACTGACGCTCTACGGGCTGCAGCCCATATTCGCTTTGACAGGATCGTTTTTGGGTCACTCTCACACATCAATTCTATTGAATTTTTGTCCGTTTTGACCACATGTCTGCAACGACTCTGTGGAACGGTCACTCCCCTATCCCCGAACATCGCTATCGTGGTCGGAAAACCTGCCAAGAGATAACAAGTTTGTTTGGACTGAACACTGATATTGAACTGGATGATCGCTGACACCTCCTTTAGTCCGACGAGGGCGAAGTAAACTCACCATATATGTTGGGACCAGGTGGGTTCCATCATGGACATCTATCAATACCTCTTCCGCCTGACTCTACAACTTACGAAGACCGTAGCATATATGCGATACCGAATGAAAATTTCTGGCCGCCGGGTGTGAACACCATCAAACAGTTCAGGAAAAAAGGAACCGAGACCGGGGACATTTACAAGGTAGGACGGGTCGAAGAGATCTACGAGGCTATACCCGTACGTCTAGTGAGAATATTGACCATTCAAGTTGATGAGCTCTGTAATGACTGTAAGCTACCGCGAAGCATGTATCAGGGCCGTTGTGCCGCATCCGATGGTTTGCATTTGGCAAAGGCCTAAGGGAACAAGTTTCGCAGGATGTTCGTGACGCACAGTAAGCATCATATGGTATTTCTTTCACTAGACTTATATCGGAGGTTGACGCTGTCTGGAATGGACACCAAGACACCTGTCTGCCCTTGGGCCACACGAGTACATTCTAACGGATGTAAAAGCGACGTATTCGGTGGATATCATCGAGTGTATGACAAGTCTTGGCCACAGTCTATCAGTCGAGTCCGCTAATCATACCAAAATCTTATGGACGAGTGCTTCATGAAAAGGTTCAATGACAACGAGGCAAATATGCTCTGGATGCTCGACGATAGTCAATATTGGCGAAACAAGATGAAGGCTGAAACCTCAGAGATTAAGGTGAGTGAGGCCATAACGACTGTCGCTAGTTGGTATTCGAGTTCGCTCCAGAATGTTAACGATGATTCCATGTCTATCTGGCAGTGGATCAAGATCTGCAAGGACGGCTGTAGTAAGGACAACATCTACACTCCCAATGTAGATGAAGTCCGTTGGTGCTCGATGTGTGCTCGATGGTTCCACGATGGCTGTTGCGAGGAACTCGACCTATACGCTGACGAAACGCGGAAGTGGCTGAGGAACAACAACCAAGACTATCTCCTCGTCGATTGGGCCAAAGTTGATGCCGAACATCCCAGCATCGAAGCCATTGTGGGGCTGCCTATTGCCAGGCACCCAGCAGAGCCTGCCGCTCCGGAAAGCTTGGAAAAAGTCATCATATTGGCGAGGGAGAAGGTGATTTTCGCCGAGGAGGAGTTGGACCTCATAGACTATCACGACTTCATCATGGAAGCTGATGCTAACCGCTGGCCGGACAAAGTCGAGGAGATCGTGCAGGTGTTTTTGGAAGAGGCCATCGAAGAGCAGCCAATATTCTATCTCTGCCCTCGGTGTAACAACTATGCCATCTAGAATGCTCATCGTACCCTCTTGCTTTGTTGAACATCACAATAACAAGTTTTCGCCAATAAGTTCGCAGAATTCAGACTCCAAGACAGTGGCTGTCAATGTCGTTGAACCTCAAGCGACCGTTCGTCGGAGTCTGTCGTATCCCGAACAACCACCTAACACACCCCTATGACAGACAGACTATGGCCCGTACCGCACCACTTCAGATCGGCTTCGATCCTGATCTGAGCAGGTCTTGAACAGGGCAACCTCGAGCTTCGCGCACATGAGCTCAAGACGGAAGATCGAACCAAAGCACACTCAATCGCTCATCCCAAAAGAAATATCTATACACGCCGTAATGAAGACTTCTAAGTAAGTACTAAAAGCATACCCGGCAACATTTACTTCACATCATAATCCGTCCACGCCTCTCCCTATATACAAACTGCACACGCGACGAAAGCAGAACCTCCAAGCCGCGAGACAAGCGGAAGGTCACAGTGCGCTTAAGCACCGAAGACCTTGAGGCGCTCCTCGATGGGCTTCTTCATGCCGGTAGGCTTGGGGCCAGCGGGCGCGGTCGGCTTTCCGAAGGGCAACATGGCGATGAGGGACCATTCGAGGGGGATGCCCCACTCGGCGGAGACCTTGGCGTCGATGAGGGGGTTGTAGTGCTGGAGGCTGGCACCTGTATTACACAAAGGGAGAGAATGTATGAGCAGGAGAACGGGGAGGTTGCAGCGAGTATGAGAAATCATGGGGCGGAGGTGGACGAGGGGTAGTTGAGAGAAGCATGAAGGATAGGCAATGGGGGAGAGGGAGACACGTACCAAGACCCTCAGCCTCGAGAGCAGTCCAGACGATGTATTGGTGCATGGCGGAGGTGTGTGCGGACCATTCCGGGAATCGGTCGGCGTAGATGGCGAACTTGCTCTGGAGAGCCTTGGTGTTCTCAGGGTCTTCGTAGAAGAGGACCTATTCAGGACACAACAGAAGCACGATCATGAGCATCTGAATGGAATGGGATTAAAGTGAACGTACGGTTCCGTAACCAGCCTTGAAGCTGTCAATCTTGGTCTTGGTGGCCTCCCAGCCCTCAGCGGGGACGATGGCCTTCAAGACCTCAGCAGTGATGTCCCAAAGCTTCTCGTGGTCCTTCTTGACGAGCAAGACTAGACGGGTGGTGAAGGAGCCGAAGGTGGAGGGGGTCTCCTCGAGGGTGGTGGTGAGGATCTCCTTGAGCTTCTCGTCAGAGACGGTGGACTCGTTGGAGATGGTGTAGACCGAGCGGCGGTTGGCAACGGCCTCGAGGAAAGCGGCGGAAGAGGTAGGGGCCATCTTTGGTTGTGTGGTAGTGAAGTTGCGGTGCGATTGAAGCGGGCGGGTGAGGGCGCGGAAGGCTGGTGCTGCGGGAGCGGCTGTGAGGGTGCGGATGCGGGGGAGGATGCGAGTGAGAGACATGGGCGAGAGGAGAATGAGGGCCCTTTTATACAGATGTCAGTCGATATCTGATGGCAGCTGCGTGGCGGAATCTGTCCGGATGTAGAAGGTTGGAGAAGGAACTGGATGGACAGGTCGGAAGATCAGATGTAGAAATATTCCGGGCTGCAAACGCAATAGGTGTGACCGGCGGTTAGGAAGCAGGAATTTATATACGTGAACAGGAAAGCGTCACCATGTTTACTACAGTATTACAAAGCTCACGACGATCCACCTAAGACGAGACAGAGCATCGAGCCCTGTAGCGCAAACAAGGAACGATAGCAGTGCGTGAGATGTGTCAAAAGCGATCAGTCAGGCCGCCAAAAAATCTCCAACAATTCGTCAGCGCCTCGGGTCAAGAAAGACGAGGCCATTATCGCCATAACAAGAATGGTTTATCCGGGCATTTTCAAGTCGGTCGTTGTCGACGATGGCGATGGCGATTGTCCTGGGAAGAACCGTCCGTGTGGGGGAAAGTTCAAAGCGTATTTGGTCAACGGCGGAAGTCGTAGCTTGTGGCGCGATACGTGTCATGCAAAGTACCGCGGTTACTCGGGCCACTTCTCTTCATCTGCTTCGGTCAACAAAGTCGCCGTCAAATATCTCAGCAACAACGATGAAGCGAAATGCTTCAAAGGCAGCTCTTACATCGAGCAAGAGTTCTTTCGACCCTTCTGTGACACTGTTCAGTCTGGACAATTCTGCTGCCTCGACGTCTACGCTATCGCCTTCTACGTCTAATTCTGAAACATCTGGCGCGATTGCAACTCGAGCACCTGTTCTTGATGCTGTTGAGGTCTCGGAGGATGGCCCACGTCGCTCAAAACGCGTTAAACGCGTCCATACAACTCTCGAAGAACGCGACGAGGACGCAGTTCTGACCGAAGTCACAGAAACCGTTATTCCTGACGGCCCGTTGACTATTCGTCGGAGTCCTCGTAAAACTGAAGTGAAGAAAGAAGAGTCCGACTCAGATGAGACTCTTCCGACACTCAAAGCATCTCCTAAGGCGAAAGGTCGACGGAAACCTTCTGCTTCCCCTCGTAAAACCAAGTCCATTGCTCAATCACTCGATATTCCTCATCCTGCACCGGAACGGTGGAGGGAGACCTATGATGCTATCAAGGAGATGAGGTCGAAAATCACTGCTCCAGTGGATACGATGGGATGTGACCGTGCACAGTACAAGGAGACTGAGCCAAAGGTACGTTTTCGGGTCCTTGGTTCGTTCATCGGCCCTTTCTCTGGAGTTCGACTGAACTCGCGCGACAGAACCAACGCTTCGCGACCCTCATTTCGCTCATGTTATCCTCCCAAACAAAAGACGAAGTGACTGATGCAGCAGTCAACAAACTGAGACAAGTTGTCGGCGGTACCCTCAGTCTCGAAGCCGTCCTCGCAGCAGACGACGCCATCGTCTCCGAAGCTATCAATAAAGTCGGCTTCTGGAGACGTAAGACTCAGTTCAGTGCTTTCCTTCCTTCCACCCTCCTTCCCTCCTCTTGCCCCATTCTTCCATCCTATCTCTTCTTCGTCCCACTGATACCACCATCCTGTTTACGCTTGTCGGCACTCCGTGCTCTTTATTTTTACTATCCTGCCGTACTTATGCTCAGTTTGCCGTTCAACGAACGTTGTACGATTGTAGGTACATCAAACAAAGCGCCCAACGCCTGCGTGATTCTTTCGACTCTGACGTACCCAAGACGGTCGACGAATTGTGTTCACTACCGGGCGTGGGTCCGAAGATGGCGTTCTTGTGTTTGCAGTCTGCGTGGAAGCTGTGCGTAATTTCCTACCCCCACAATGTCTATGGACATGAACAGAGGGCTGACGCTTTTTGTTTCCGGTGCTCTTGACATGTTGATAGAAATCATGGTATCGGCGTGGACGTGCACGTTCATCGGATCACGAATTGGCTGGGGTGGCATAGACCGCCTACGAAGACGCCTGAACAAACTCGGTACGTTTATTCTCTCTTCCTCCCTCCCCCTTTCTTCATCTGACTGGGGCTATGGCCATTGTCGTCCTAATGTGACTGCATTTCTCATCTATTTGGTGATTCTCAAACTCGCTTTACGCCACATCACCCTGGGTGCCACACTGCTCGAATTGTGGTCGCAACAGTCTGAACCTCCAATCCTGGCTGCCGAAAGAGTTGCACGGCGAGATCAATCATCTTCTCGTTGGATTTGGACAGGTATATACTACCGTTTACTCCCCCACGTGTCCTCCACTGTCCTTCTCCGCCTTCTCGTAGAACCCAACAAACTGACAACATCAACGACGACCATTATACGCGCAGGTAATCTGCACCCCGGTAGCCCCTCGCTGCACCGAATGCACACTCAGCCCCTCCGGACTCGGTCTATGTCCAAGTGCTCGAGCGGAAAAGCTTGTCAAGAAGAAGGTCCAATCAAAGGTTGTCAAGAAGGGTAAGGCGAAGCCAGAGGATGTGAAGAAGGAAGAGGACCTGGAGAATCTGGATGTGGATATGCATGCGGAGGCGAAGATGGAAGATCTCGAGGATGTTGGGATGTCAGCGGGGGTCGGTAGGGCGAAGAAGGTGGAGGTGGTTGATGAGCTGGTGGCGATGGGAGATGGGGCTACTGTGGGCGATGAGGGCGTTAATGGGGTGAAGACGGAGAGCGAGAGTTAAAGATAGATAGTGTGACATCTTTTTTGTGGGTCATTTCAAGCCGCCTCAATTACTACATCCGAGCTCGAAAGGTACTCATACCACATTCTGACAGGTTTCAGAGATATATAGGTACATGCGTGTTCCCGTCTGCCGATCACTGGCAGGTCTATCTTACAATCTTGGATAATATTATCTCGTCCTCTCCTAGGCGATCATACCGCATGGTGGGTCTCATACAGATGCTGTCTGTCTGCTGGATACATCCGTCTCGCGTCTCGCTCGCTCTTATTCAAACCCATCCCTCACTCATGACGCTCACTTGATGCTTTTCCTGTGGGGCGAAGCGTCGGAGGTTCTCATAGGAAACTTACGCTCGCAGCGATGACCTGCCGCCTGTGATGTCCTGTTTCGCCGACCAGCTGGTCGCACACTCAATTATTCTGATGGAATCTATGCAGTCCGCAACACTTTATGTGGCTGCATCGCATTCGGCCGATACAACAACATAAATAGGGGCTTATTGGTATGCGCGCCTGGAATGACAGGGTCGGCGCAAACTAACTTATATCGAAGGCCGCTAGGCCAATTCTGTCCTGTGGTACGCGGAGAGCTCGTGAAGTTGTCTCATCAAAAGCTTGAGTTGGATCTCGCCTCGATACAGAGCGTGTATGCCCATAGGCCGATCTTGGAATCTAAGCATTGAGGAATGTCGGTATCGTTATGGTCCATCTGATGTGTGGGCGAACAGCTCCAAGAACGGCGTAGCCTGTCGCTGAAGGAAAGGATGGTGGAGTCATTCAATCGCGAAAATTGTCGAAGGCTCGTCCAGTTACAGTCGTACTTGGGTGTCAGATTGAGTTACACTTCACATCGCCTCCCTTCGGGAGAAATGATCCTCGGTGACGGGGAGAAAATCTTAACGGTGAGTGCTTTCCGTGACTTATACCCAAACTTTATTGGAGAATGATCGACCGAAGGTATTCCTAGATCCACAAATGGCGGCACCATTGAATTGCGAGGAAAACGAGGCTAATCAAGCCTCCCTCCAACGCGTTGCATCACCGTCCGCGTCGAACGCGCGAGTATAAAACCGCCTTCAAGTTTATCTGCCATAGGTACTTCTAAGCGTCCTCGGCCCTCGAAAATATCCACTTCTCTCTGGTTACCGCAAATTATCACTATGGACCGTGACCCCGAGCACGACGAAACCCACAACGCCGTCATAGGTAGGAACGGGCGCAACCTACATATGCATAACCCCAACGCCAACTTCAATCCTTTCGCTGCCGGGTTCGGAGCACCACTCCTTGTGAACCCTGCCGCGTTACAAATGGGCGTGATGCTCGTGAACCAAGCCTTCACATCCGGAGCCTACTCGCAACAAGCTATTCCAGCGGCCATGACCATGCAGGGGCCTCAGATGGAGGATAACTCTACCGACGAGTCGATACTCATCGACAGACTATTCGTCGGGAAGATCAGGGGGCTTACGCTGCTGCAGTCCATTCGAAGTCTCGTACGTCTCCACCCTCCTAGATATTTCGCAGTCACTCGGAGTCTGTTCAATCTATAACTGCTAATTATCTTCAACCAGGGAACTCCCAAAAACCGGGAGGGCCATTGGAAAGACCTATACATCGACCGAAAGGCGTATATCGACGAGGAGGTCAGAAAACTCATTGAAGGAGATCGTGCTGGCCCTGTTCCAAAGGTTGAGAAGGTAAGCTTCCCTCAGCAACCTCGCCCCTTCCCCTGTAGCCTGACCCTTAGTGTCGATATGTGTTAACTTTACAGAAGAAGAATCTTCACATGACCACAGTCAACTTGCACCCCTCACGCAGCTTACGCAACGCAGGCTCGTCCAAAAACAAGAGCAATGGCATCGACGATCTTTGGATGGCCCCAAAGAAGGAGCCTATCGCGCCCGTCCATGGCCCGACGACGTCTACACCACCCTTGTACACGAAAGCAGACGACAAATACCTGACCAACTGCTTCGCGTGGCAATTAAAGCAGGATCCTTCGCAGTCGAAGACTGAAATCTGCGCGAAGATAGCGTCGAAGGTAGGTTACTTCAATCCGATGTTTTCCTCTGTTCTCGACGTGGGGTACATCCTTGCTCATTGAACATTGTGGTTGTGGCCTTTGTTTTCCTTCAGGCTCCTTATCATAACTCTGCGGGCTGGTCGAAACGTGCGTCGAAATTTTTGGAGATAACGAGGATGCTCTCCCAGGCCGCGAGGATCGCTAGCGGTCGTGACGGAACCAACAAGGACAACAATGAAGGCGAGGAAAGCGAATCAGAGGGCGAAGGCGCGCCTCTGACAGACTTGGAATCGACCGATGAGGAAGGAGAAGGTATTGGTCAGGCGGGCCAGCCGTATACCTCACGCGAACGTCGAACCATCTGGGAATGGATTGGGCAACACAGCAAGGGCGAGTGGGAAGGAATGTCCATGGAGGAAAGATGGTCCATTATGAAGACAAAGGTACCAATCAAATATTTTGTTCTTGCACATTTTATCTTTTCTTCACTGACAATCATTGGCTCATGTTTGCTGGCTGTAGCTTCCACACCGTGAGATGCATGCGGTTCGAAAGTACTACATGAAGAACTCCGAGTGTGAGGAATTTTCTCCTTGCGATTTCGTGAGTTAGATGCTTATGAGGTCCTCTGTTCGTTTCTTAGTGTTGGATGCGAAGGCGGAGGAATACAGGAAGCGTCGGGAATGCAGACTTGCCGCCAACTGGCAGCAGTGAATATGTTTACATTCAGAAGTCCCGCTTCGCTACGCTCCCCAAGAATGGGCCTCGCCTTCCGATCGCCTTCATCATGGTATCGGAATATGACGGCTTGTTTTGTTTTTGACTTTACTTTGGTGCTGTCTCTTTGTATTACTATCTTTGACTACGGCTGTCATATACGCAAGGTTCTTCAGCAATGCCACCGTTCGATTCCAGTTCCCCGCTGACGTTACGCTTGGCAGGCCAGCTAAGTTCCAGCTGCATGCCTCTAGATTTCTGTTCTCCTTCCAAAGCCTTTGCGTTCCTTCTCGCGTTCAAGTTTGCGGTTGACTTTACTCTACCCTGTGTCAGACTGCGTTGGGCCCGCGTATGAATCCACAAAATGTATGCAGTGAGCTTGATATCTATCGTGCCGTTGCCAACTATATACGGATGTGGCATGCGCCGAAAAAGTAGTTCGGCGTCAAATTACCGGTGGTCCGTACAGGTCCGCGCTGCCAGAGCGCTCGCAGAAGCGATCAGTCGAGCTCTCAGGCTCCTCTTCGCTGCCACCAATCCACTGGATTCGACGACCTTGTCCCAGCCGCTCCTCAAGATATCAGCTACGTAGGAAGAACCAGGATATTGTGGACGCTGACGCAGGGCGGGAAATTTTGAATTTCCTGTCTCTCAGGCCATGAAACTCTGTCGTCCATCGATAAATGTTCGCGCCGCTACTCCCTTTGCTTTGTGACGGAATTGCAGTCTCCCGACGACGAAAGGCCGCGACAATTTTTTTTCTGCCAGATTGTGATGTTTTCTTGTCTGAGTCCTATCGAGGCGGACTATCATCGCTGTAGTTGGCTTCAAACAGGCAGCATCTCATGCGCCTACTTGCTGCTCGAGTCGGAATGTATCATGTGGCGTGCCTCCGACGGCGTTTGCAATACACGAAATTTTGATCGCCGCACGAATGCGGATGCCGGCGGGAGTGTCACTTATCGCCACATTTGTCTCTTTCTTTTTTCCATCATCTCTCCTCGGTAGTCTTCTCCCCTTCGAGCATTCGTGCGTTTCCAAAATCATAGCGGCCCGTTATTTCGCATTTTTAACATCAATCTCAATCACTAGGCTTTGCGTTGCGGCAAAGTGGCACTGACCGAGCAATCCAAATATGCAGTACGGGGCCTCTGTCAACCCGTCTACGGAATATTCGAACGCGAACAGTCATCACTCTCCATCTGTATCCTCTCATTATGGTGGCTATATCGATCCACGAACATATACTTTCGGGCCACAGACACCGATGAACCCGAACGGCTTCTCTCATACCCCTCAGCTGCAGCATAACGGTGGTGCCTTCACGACACAAGTGAATCCCCTCATGTACACGCAGGCTATGTACGCGACGAATCCCTCGCTCGGCAACACCATGCACTATCAGAACTCTGGTTTATTCAACAACCCTCCATCGGCATCGGCAGCCGTCTTGCAAGCTACCACACAGCCCGAATCGCAGCCCAGTCGCCCGCCGAAAAATGACGAGGATGCCCTCGTCAACGCGCTCATCGTAGGTCGAAACAGCGGTCTGTCAGACAGACAGGCTATCCAACGGCTCCACATGGTTAGTTCAATCACTTTATTCGAACCTCTGATTCCACGACTTGTCCGTACTGAATGTGATGTTCGCAGACGAATGGCCACACGTCGGATGAATGGCTCGACTATCTTCTCCTTCATCACGCACCCATCGATGCTGAGGTATCGAAATACGCCGGACCAGCCGTCGGACCTCAGTTTACAAAGATGAAAGCACCCATCTCGCCCTCCGATACCGCGTCTGTCAATCCACAAACTCCGCAAGCATCTACATCTGTCAGTACTTCTTCTACGAATTACAAACCATTCTGACATCGAGATAATCAGGCTCCAGTAAAGGCAGAGCGTCGACCTTCAAACAGGCATCCCGATCCTCCCACCGCGGTTCGTTCTCCGAAACTTGAAGAGCCAGTGCCGCCTGTTGCGACGGGGCGCAATCGTAGGCCTCTCCCATATACAGAGGCAGATGACGTCTATATGATCGCATACTATGCGTGGGAGTTACATCGTAATCCCTCTCAGACGCGGTATGTGATATGTCAGAGAATGGCTCCAAAGGTGCGTCCACAATGCAGACGACCATAGGGGGAATAAAGGTTCTTACCTATATACGTTTTGCCTTCGGTGATGACAATCGGGTAGGTGCCGCATCATAGTTTTGCGTCGTGGAAGAGCCATGTAGATAATTGTGAGGAAGTCGACGCTCTTTTCCAACAAGCGTGGAAACGAGAGCAGCAGGCTCATCAGCATGATGAGGATGCGACTGCGGAGGAGAGCACACAAGAATATGATGACGACGAAGAAGACGAAGATTTCGAGGATCCTGGTGATAGCGAAGACAGCGAGTTCGAAGAGATCCAGCAAACGAGCCGCAAACGCAAGAACATCTTCGACTGGATGATGAAGAACGAGGGATCTGATCTGGAGTCATCGGAGGATGAAGGTCCAATTGACGTCAAACCTGGACGAACATTCACGGGGGCCGAGCACCGATGTATAGCGAAGAGGATGTCGAAGTTTACGCACGACTCATGGATCAGGAAGAATAAGCATGACCGATGGAGGGCTCTGAGGAAGAAGGTACGTGCTGTTAGGACCTAATAGTTTTTCGGCGGTTGTACTGACCATTGGCTTTACATCATACAGTTGCCAGGACGTACCCTTCGGTCATTAAAATCACATTATCAGAAAAATAGAAATGGTGAGCTCATTACACCCGCGACATAATACACTGGGCTCGCAAACTTACTTCTATGCAGAGTATGATGATCTGGCAGAACGATACAGACAACGCAGAAAGCAGCGTGAGACCCGACGGCAGCGGCGGCAGCGCAAGTAGAATCTTTGGTGGCCTTGTAATACCTTCCCATAGCTTGGAATCTCGAGAGCCTGCGGTGCTCGTAGCATGATCCATCTGATTGTAGATGCCTGCTCGCCGAACGCGACCCACTTCCAATGACGCGACCGCGGCACGTTCATGTCACGAACGCGAGCGGTCACTGATCGTCACCGACGTGACGTGTTGGTCACGAAGGCGAAGGGCAGCGAAGGGCAGCGAAGGGCACAAAAATAGGACCGCTGCGTGAAAGTTGCCGACAAATATATCATACGTACACCGACAACAACGGCCGGCATGAATCATGTTTGTAGTGCACGTTCGTCAACAATGGATGCCCCTTGCTTTCACCCGTGCCCCTCTACTTGTCAATAGACGTTTCTCAGCCTCTTGTCTTCACCTCCGAAAGTTCAGTAGGTCGGTGAGTTACCGCTCAGGTTGGTTATTACCAGAACGTCAAGCCAATTGGAACCTAAACTCACAGTTTCACATTGACTTTGTATTGACAGCAGTACTACATATCTTCTAGTGCAGTAAACCAGCAGAACCGTCTATCAGCGAAGCCTGCACATATGTTAGACCGCATTGAAACCCAGCTCGTTCCCTTGCTAGGATCCTCCCTTTCATACTTCTACGGCAGACTCTTCAAGCTAGGGGACTTCGGGTTTGACCACGACGGTTCCATGCAAATGCGCTCGAAGAAACAGCTGGCGGGCAGTGGTCCCATCCTTACACGCAAACTTCCAGGTATGTCTTATTGGCCCTGTGCCATCACATCCAATATACTGATTCGTATATCTCGTGCACGAATAGAATGCTGGGGTCACCGCGGGGTACGTCCTTGTCTACTTTGCCTGTCTGCCCCTATCTTTCCCGGCGCTTATGGACGTGTGACGCATCAGGCATCCGCGGCATTCCCGGAGAATACACTCGCGAGTTTTGAAGCAGCCATCCGCGACGGCTCGGAGGGCATCGAGAGTGGTCGGTGTAGTTGTAGTTCTTCTTTCTCATCCTAATCCCGCATCCAGACGTCCACATCTCCCTCGACGATGTCATTATCATGTTTCATGACCCCGGTATGTTGTGTCTGCGCCCCCGGTCTAGTAGAAAGCTACTCACTACTCCTTATATAGATTTGGAGCGCACCACCAACTCTACCGGTGCGTCGATCTCAGCCAGACTTCTTCATTATCTACTCGATGTCTGAGACGAACATTGGCCACACGGATCTCCAGGCAAGGTGAAGGAGAGGAAGTGGTTCGGCCCCGACGGCATGGAACACGTCCGCACCACGAAACAGCCCGCTCAATCCATCCCCACCTTCCCTGAAGTCGTCTCCCTCCTGATGAAACCCGAGAACCATCACGTCAAATTCAACGTCGACGTCAAGGTCTTCAACGATCCCGAACGCCTCTTCCCCCTCATGCAAACCATCATTGCCGCTTACCCCGAATGGGAGACCAAACTCGCGCCGAGGATCGTCTTGGGATTGTGGCACCCGAGATTTCTGGGCCCAGCGAAGAAGTATCTGCCGTGGTGTCATAGGAGCCACATCGGATTCAGTGTCGACTTGGCCAGGAAATGGTTTTGGGAGGATTGTCAGAGCTTCTCAATCAACTTTATGGTGCTTGCCACATCGGATGGGGAGAAGTGAGTCGTTCGAGGACTGCAGTTCAATATCCCAGGACTGAACTCATTAACCAGGTTCCGCGAGGAATGCAGAGCAGCGGGCAAATCCGTGCTAACCTGGACAGTCAACGAGCCCGAGCATATGATGGAAGTATGTATCGTATCACCACCCTGACCAGTCGCGCTGAGTGACTCACCGTCACCACTGTCCAGGTCGTGCGGTGGGATATCGTCGACGCCATCATGACTGACGTCCCCAAAGTCTGGCTTGACCTCCGCTCAGCCCTATCCAGTAAGCCTCATTCCAAAATGCTACTTATCTTTGCCTTTGCACCCCTATGTACGCTGTCCCGTATTGAACATCTGCGCCGCCACCTCCACAGCCGATTATGAGAACGTCTCCGTGCGTTATAAACGCACCTTCCTTTGGACGAACCCCATGTTCTACCCGAGGGTTCAAGCCGCCGTGGTCAAGTCCCGCATGCGCCTCTTTGAGCAGGTTGGAGGCCCGCTGGATCCCAATGCGCCCGTCAATCCAGAGAAATTGAACAAGGATTCGACGTCGGGAGGTGGTGGTGTGGCCGGGTGGGTGTTGGGCGTGGCTATGAGGGTGTTGGGAAGGTCGTGATGGCAGTTCGTTGTTGAGGGGGCTGGGTTTGGGCCAGTGGAGCGAGGAGTTTGTTCTATTTTTCTTTTCGATTCCATTGCGGCGTGTGTGTCAGGATGCTGACTCTGATATTATAGCACGAGGAAGATCAGCCTTCATACTCCACGCCCTAGATTTTGCTGACGTGACCTCGTATACCGAGCGGCTGGGGTTCCTTTTCCATCTCTGTATAGAAATTAATCATTACCATGTTTCGAAGAGTGGGCCAGCTGTTAGAGCACGCATATCGACTTTCTTGGCCTCTAACGTCAGTCTAAATCCGTCAGTACAGCCTTTGGTGGCGTTTGTGCACCGTCGTCCGAGGTACGTCTATCCCTTTTGATCTGCTGCCCCTGGCTCGTAGTCACAGATTTGGTCGTACCGCCTTGAAGATAACACTACCTTGCCCTTCGTCACTTGAAGGACTCGTTTCCCGATGGTTGTGACGATCTGCGAATGGATTCGATTTTGCCTTTTCATCTTGCAGAAGTGCCCTGAACTCCTCGGTCCTGATGGGGATACTTCTGGAGAGTTCTTCCTTCTCGGTACCCACGATGTTGGGTCCTACAGGGTTTTGCATAAGAAACCGGAATGTCGCGCGTAGAAAAATCGTGTGTGCCTGAACCAAACAAAGCCATAAACGGCAGACTTTCTCGGCATTCCTCGGCAGGATTCGTGTGGCACCAGCGAGGTATGCCCCTGTTCTTGAGCGTACCGACATTGCATGCCCACTGAAAGGTGCTCAACAGGTTTGAATTTGTGATCACATTCTCTGCTACTGAAGTACATAGCAGATAAGTCCAAAAGACCCGGGATAAAAGAGCCCGACGAGACAATCCCTCAACCCTCAACATAACAGGCGCAGACGTGCGGGCTGCCATTCCACACGACTCGAGACTCGACTTCCTCCGGTACCATAGGATACGCCTCAGTGACCCCACTCAGCCATTCCATATGTGCATCTCGTCTCGAGACTCGTGAAAGGATGAACAAAATACCAACTAAATACTACGTGGCTGTACTAAGAAAGAGGGGAGGGAGACACATATGTCTCGGAGACATACACAGTGGGACGGGAGGGCATCGCGAGCATGATGACCGGGAGCATCAGCTTGTCATGTTGACTGTACTGAAGCAGAAATCTGACACACGCAATTGAAAGCGCACCGAATACGCACCGGTTAACCAGTCCTGATGCTTTGTGCGCGAGTTTTAGTACGTCGCAGAGCAGTT